CACTCAATCAATCATTTACATTCAGTCACTCGCTCAGTTACTCAATCATTCACTCAGTCACCCACTCAGCCAGTCACTCAATAATTCACTCACTCAATCATTCAGTCACTCGCTCAGTTACTCAATCATTCACTCAGTCACCCACTCAGCCAGTGAGTCAGCCAGCCAGTGAGTCAGCTAATAAACAATCAGTTTTCAGGGCGGTTGCTGTCTTCTGGGTTGTAAACCTGTTGTTACCACGTACAAGACAACATGGCATGGCAACCCAGAAGACCACTTACTATTTCATGTAATTCAATCAGGCAGGCAGGCGGTCAGTCATTCAGCTTTTTGGATATCCCGTCGAGAAAATTCTTGGTTGTTTCATTACTCATATAACTCAAACTGTAATAGTTTGGGTACGATTTCTAAACAAAATATAATGAAATTTGTAGTTGTTTTAATCGACATAATCTGTATGTAAAGATGAGAGACTGAAGAGTAATGGACCGGGGAAGAATAAACAGTTTATTGTACATGGAACGAGAGAAGTGTGTCGACATGGTTTAAGATTGTTAATTGTAAACTCAGAGGGACGAAAGGATGATGACCTCTGTGTAGTGAGGATATTATTAAAATGTTGGGAAACAGGGAGGTTGAGGAAACAAATCTCAGCAGAGACTTGCATATGGTTAATGAAGAGACAGCTTTAAGGAAATAACAAATTGTACAAATGCAGTGGAATTAAGAAATGTGGAAAATTATCTGTATAATATCAGACATACACAGAACAAAAGCAATTGGGGAGGGGGGGATTGGAGCTGCAATGATAAGGATGAATATGTGTAGTAAGATAATAGCACGATTACAGATCATTATGTTTGAACTGTGGACCGGAGAAACTCAATGTTTGGTGGACTGACCTTACGCATACAGAACTCGACTAAGTAAGTGATTGATTGATTGATTGGTCACTTAGTGCATAATATCATTACGTTTGATATTTATACTTGACGTCACGTATATATTTATTTTAAACCACGAGCTTTACGTCACTAAACAGAGGACACAATTTACAGCATAGGACAGGTTAGTTCAGCGGTAAAGCGTCTGAGTTCCGTTGACACGAGTCTCGTCCTCGTCTTCGGCTACCATGATTGACGTTTCTGACAGTGAATGTCAGCGCGTGACCTGGATATGAAGCAGGACTGCCTTCCCGCAGGTCACCGATCACAGCCGTCGCCTCTTCTCAAAACCTACGCGTGCGTAGATGCGTCGTTAATTAATTCTCGATATACGAATGAGTTTTGACTGATCGACACGGGATCTACCAAGTACCTTACAACATACATGACCTGGTTATACGTAAAAGGACCTGCGGGCTATAGAAATGCTCGTTATTGCTAGTTCCTGAAAGTTTTCATTGGCAGCTCAAGGTGTTTAAAACCGCTATGGAAATCATTGTGAATCATTTCACCGGAGACAAAAGTACTGGAACTATGTGATATTTTAGGCTCTCATGGAGACGAGAATAGAGATGGCTGTCTTCTGGGTTGCAGCGCCGTATAGTCTAGTAGAAGTTTATCGACGTCTCAGAGATACTTTCTTACACGTAATCCTTAATAGCTCCAAATAATCTTTTGAATATTTTAATTTCAGATGCTTGCAATGTGTCCGTCTGTCAAAGACAAAAGCATTTGAAACCACGTAAATCAGTTGGCAAAATTATTGTTGCATGAGCCTTTAATTTCGCGGTTTTCAAAAGCAGTCTCGACTGGTAATCTTTCACAAAACATCCGTCCATTCCTGCATACACTAGTTTCCGAGGAATAGAAACGATCTTGGCCAGGGATCAAAGCCGGGCGGCTTTCGGCGTACAAATCGTTATTTCTCTTCTCATGGAATAATCATGCTTAGTTTGGTCAAAATCGGTTGATCTAACCTCGAGCTAAGAGTGATTAAACATACATTCACACCCACAATTTCAACTTTATGTATAAGAATACAGATGACACTAAAACAAAGGTTCTCAATAGCACCAAGTTGCGGCGCGCGGGATCAGTCGGTACAAATGTGATTCCTAAGCCGAAAAACATTTTCATTTTAGTTAATGCTGCTCGTGTTCAATCTGTCCGGACATGTTTCTTAAGATCATGTTTTGTTCTCTGTTTGGTCCAGATATCCTCAGCACGCTGTTCTCGAACACCCTCAATCTGTCCTCCTTTCTTAGGGTGTGATACCAAGTTCGCGGCAGTACGTTGGTATATTGTGATTCAGACGATTGAAGTCCAAAAGAACAGCTTAACACAATTTATCGCAGCATCATCAGAAAACTTTCCTTGATTCATCTCACTCAGGACAGTGTCCCGTGGTTGTCTCCTGCGGACATGGCAAAAACTTTCGGGTTCAATAAAAGTTAGGTGATTTTTTTGATAAAGCCAGCGACTATAAGCTTTCCTGGTCCATTCTGTTTGTTAGTTACCATTTAGTTGATCGATTCATAGGTAGGCATGGCCTGTCTTGGACAAGTCGTCTGTGATGATAGTAGTTACTTGTGTGCTGAGCACTCCATGACAAAATGGCTTATCGGCATGACAAAATCTTCTTTATTTTCCGGATATTAAAACTAATTTAGAGGCTTCATGGGTTCATGCCATGAGATGTCGATCACTCGAAATGCTATGGATCGTATCCTCAGCTTAATTGACGAGATTTTCCTCAAACAATTAAAGGTTATACAGCCGAATGCCTTCATCTTGAAGCCCCGTGTTCATCCTTTGTGATCACGTGGTGGCACAAGAGCCAACCGTTATATGCACAACTGCACAAATTGTTTATCAGACTGAGTTTAAAAATCTTCGTTTTTAAGGAGATAGGGTCACAATCCTGTGAACCCACTCCCTATTTAAAATTCTTGTACTTTAAACTAAAAATCTCTACAACCCTCTGTATAAATATGAAGAGGGCCAAAATCTTTAATATCCCCCATATTGTGCACAGAAGAGGTCTAAATTAGGACACCCTTAACTACCTTAAAGCACATGCTTACTGTAAAATTATGGAACCAATTT